AAAAGCCACTGGACTGTGCATTTTAAAAGGGTGAATTTTGTGGTAAATGAATTATATCAACAACGAAAAAGCAATTCATCGCACTGTGTACCAACTGTGTCTGGAAGACAGGAACCAGGTTCTCACCTGCTTTATGTCACCTAAGGTGCCACACACACTAAATGCTTAGGACAGTGGTTCCCAGACAACTACACATGGGAACTACCCTAGGGGGTCTTTAAAAACTAATGCCTGGCAACCACCCCCCAGATAGTCTGATTTCATTGATCGGGGATGCAAACTGGCTACTGAGTTTTGAGAGTTTCCAGGGTGATTCTAATGTGCAGCAGAATTTGCGAACCACAGGCTTAGCAAATGGTTAGTGAACAACCATTCCAGGGAACCAAAGCCAGCCACCTACTCCACTTGACTTCAGAGCATTCAGCTCTGATTTATCCTTGACAAGGCAATGAATACAATCACTCCAGCTGTCCCCCATGCCGCACAGAAACACATCAGAACATCCTTTCCAGTTCCTGAAGGGTCACTGCTCTTTCCGAAACCTGTGGTTGATGAGACATCAACAACTGAAGGAGGATGCATTCTGCAGCGCTCTGCCTCCTCCATCCTCCTTGGGCGCTCGCTGCCCTCATTGGTAGTTGGGGATGGGGAAGTGGAGGAAGTGGGAGGGAGCCACTTAATAAACACATTCTCAGAAAGATGTAGCCTGCTTTCAAGTTACCCTTTCCAGGGACATTCATATTTTCAGAGAAGACCCCCTGTTAAACAAAGGCACGAATGGTTAAGGATAGAATTACAGATGCTGGTAGGGGTGATTTCAAGGGAGAGGGTCTCTTTCTCCAGACTTCTCAGGCACATGTCTGGACTGGTCCTGATTGTTGGCCTGTCTGGTTTCTTAGAACAGAGAATGAGATCCTAGCTAGCAGCATTCCATTCTCTTAATGACTTGTGGTTTGAATAGAAATTTCATTCAGTTATGATTAGGTATTATCTGTGGTATTGATGGTTTTTCGAGGCCAAGCCATCTCACATTTAATTGAAAGCCCTTTTGTATTATCCACTGTTGTTTCATGTAGGTGAGTCTTTTCTCCCTATCTTAGTTATTAAGAGTTTTGGTTGAAGGTTACAAAAACCAACTCAAGCAAGCCAAAGCAATAACAGAGTGAACAATGAGATTATAGGTGGAACCAGGAGAAGTTAAGACTCAGGAAAAGCAGGAATCTGGGAATATATGGTCAAGATCAGAGAGTAGAAATTGGGATCACCCCAATGCATGGGGAAGTCAGATCTCAGGGAATAATCATCATCTAGCATTAACTGGACATTTACTGTGTGTCAGGCACTTTTCTAAATTCTTCATACACTAACTCATTTAACCCTAAGAACAATCATATGAAGTTATTCTTACATTATTATTATTATCATGAGGTACATTACTATTATTATTCCATTTCAAAGTTGAGGAAACTGAGATACACAAAAGATAAACAATATGTCCAAGGTCTTACAACTGACATTTGAACTCAGTTTGGTCTTAGAATCCATATGTATAACCACTGTGTGAATCCTGCCTTCAAGAGTTGTGCAGTGGGCAACCTGTACACCCATATATGGTGGCCCTGATATGGACTAGGGGATATGGACTAGACCAGTATCTCTCAGCAGAAGCACTATGGGCATTGCGAGGCCAAATAATTTGTTGTACAGGACTATCTCAACTCCATTTAATAAATGCCACTAGTAAACCCTCCCAAAATTATGACAATCAAAATGGCCCCTAGGAAATCAGCCTCTGCTGAAAGCCACTGGGATAAGCAGACACCCTGAGGTGCCTACTTCTCTATTTTGTGAGCCCCTTGAGACCTAACAGCCATGTGCCTTCTTTTCCTCCTCCTGCAGCAACTGGCCCAGGGAACTGCATGGACTCACACTCCGCATCACAGAAGGTACATTGTCCCTAGAATCTGCAGGTGCTCAGAGTCCTCATCCCCATGCCCCCTCCCCAGGCTTGACAGGACACTGAGTGAGGGGGGTGTCCAGGTCTTACCAACCTGGGGTGACAGAGATGAAAATATGAATCACACACAGTAGATTCACCTCCAACAAGCTTTCACAAACATACGATAGTTTTCACAATTTAGGAATTAGTCGTTTCTATTATGAGAAAAGATGCAACAGTACTTCTTCATTCTTTAATTCTGGAAAAGAAGAAAGAAAAAACTCTTCTCTGCATTACTACCCTCAACTCGGCATGGTCCCTCCATTCCCTGTCCTCACTCTCTCCCATGTGTGCAATTATAGTCGAAGTGCACCATCTGGGGTTCTGGGATATTCACCTAACACTTGCGAATGTTTCCCATGTCGCTACATGGTCTTGGTAATGAATGAACCTTTTAATGTCTGTGTAGTGTTCTAGTGTCTACTTTTAAACAATCTCCCAAGTATTAAATGTTCAGCTAATTTCCAGGTTTATTCTTTTTTTAGTTTTTTGCTTTATCAGCAATGCTATAATCCATATTTTGATACTTATAATTTATAATCCATATAACACTGCTTCTGTTTTAATTATTTGCATGATTTCCAGATATGGGACTATAGGGTCTATGGACATGAATATCTTTAAGGTTCTTGGTATGAAGTTCTGTATCACTCTCCAAGAGGTACGTACCAATTTACAACATTTCCTGGTGGTCTATGAGTATGAATTTCACAATTTCACCAGTATTAAGGACTCTCATTAAAAAAAATAATCCATCCACATATGTAAAAATTGTGGTATTTCCTCTGATGGACAGTGACTGTAATGGGGTATGTGGTGGGGACTTGTAACAATCACAATGTTGCTCATGTAATTGGATATTAATGATACCAAAATAAAAAAATTTAAAAACTAAAAAAAAAAAAACCCATGGTATTTCTAGTTGGCTCAATTTAAATTTCTGTGATCTCATGCATTTTCCTGGTACTGTTTATTATTTGTATTCCTCTGACAAGGCAAAAATTCTGAAATGTCCTCAATTAAATGACAGAAGGTCCAGAGAATGAGGCAGAGAGACAAGGAAAGGTCATCAGTCAATAGCCACAGGCTGCAGCTAACCAGAAACTCCACATCCCTGGATGCAGTCATTTCAACAAGCATCTAGAAGGTCTCCAGGACCAAGGCATTCCCCCTTGTGCATGATCAGTGTCTTATTATCATCAACAAGCAATCTATGAGCCTTCTCTACGGATTAACCACCTATCGCAGGACTTTCCCAGCTTTGCATTAACCCACCTTCCTTATCCGTAGCCAGTGTGAATTAATGAAATTTGTTTCATTGAGGCCCCCTCATAAATGTACCCTGCTTCTTGTGTCTGGTGGACAAGTTGTTTTCGGTTAACTGGCCTTGCTGCTGGTGAAGCAGAGACATCCTGACTCTTGACTCAGTCCGAATCTGAATGCATCTGTAAAGGTGCAATAAACCCTTTTATTTCAGAGATCTCTAGGTCTCTAGAGTTTTTTGTCACCTCCTTACATTAATAAAGTGTACATAGGGTCTAGAATGGCAATTATTACCTTTATTTTACACATCAAAACCCTACCAGGGAGATTAAGTTGCCCAAGTTCAAGGTGCTGGGTAACTTAGAGGGAAAACTTTCAACCTGCTTAGTCCAGCACCTTTTCTACCAAACTCATAGGCTGCGCCAGCTCAGATTTGTTCAGTGCTGACATCAACGTGTAGGAAGCAGTTCCCACCCAGGAGCAAATGAGGGGGTGTTTCAAAGGGTCACTGAGCTCAGGAGTTAATGCCCATTTGGCTCCAGGTAATTGGCCACCGTCTAAGAGATGCACAAGTGGGGCCCCCAGAAGGCATCCTGGCACTTCTGCCTCCTTCCTTGCCTTTTCTGCTCCGGGTCTGTCTTGCCAATGGGTTTCAGCCCCAGGCAAGTTCGCTATGGATTCAATGTGACCAAGGAAAATTGACAGCAGAACGCTCTTTGGGGTGAAAGGGTTATACCAACTTTATTTCCATGTGGCAGGTCAGTCACTAGAATCCCATTCACTCAGAGTGAGTCTGTATGTAGCAAGCCAGTCTCTGCCTGTGGGCCCCTCTGTTCTCACAACTGTCCTCTGGGCTTCTCTGCACAGTCATCCCGCACAGCTGTCCTCTGGGCCTCTCTGCACAGTTGTCCCGCACAGCCATCCTCTGGGCCTCAGTCCTTGGCGCTGCCACCACTCCAGCCTCTGCTCTCCTGCAGCCTTGCAGCCCTGCCACTGTGTCATGCCCAGAGCACTGGGCAGAGCTCTTTTTATAGAGTCAACAGCCATGCAGTGCCCAGAGGTGTGCAGTGAGCTAGTCAACCACAGCCAAGTGAGAATCCTGGCCACAGGAACTCTCATTTTATCCACAAGTTCCTACAGAATGAATAGAGGATCTCCCAGTATTTCACCACTGATAAATTCCTTAGGGTAGTAATTCCCAGACCTGGCTGCCTCCCAAAATCCCTTTTGAAAACCCCTCCCACTTCCCACACACAGAGTCCCCACCTACAAAATCAGAATCTCCAGGAATTGAGGCCTGAGAATCTATAGTTTTTAAGCCCTCCAGGTAATTAGGAGACTCATCTAGGTAGAACCCACTGCCTTTGGGCTCATAAGATCACTGGGGTACTTGTTGAAAATCCAGATTCCTGGCTGTCTTGCCAGTGGGTTTCAACCCCTGGCAAGTTCACTCTTGATTCGGTGAGACTGAATAATGACAATGGAATGTTCTTGGGTAAAAGGGTTTATACCCAGCTTTATTCCCATGGTGGCCAGTCAAGCACTAGAATCCCATCTACCACAGAGCAAGTCTGCATGCAGCAAGCTGGTCTCTGCCTCTGGGCCTCTCCACCCCCACAGCCGTCTCGTCTCTGTCCTCAGCGCTGCCACCACTCCAGCCTCCACTCTCCTGCAGCTGTGCAGCCCAGAGCACTGGGTGAAGCTCTTCATATAGAGTCAATAACAGTGCATTGCCCACACATGCATAGTGAGCAAGCTGACCAGGGTCAGGTGAGTATCCTGGCCATAGGAACTTTCATTGTCTCTCCACTGGCCTATACCTTGGGTCTGGTGTGGGGCCCTGAAATGTGCATTCTGACAAGCACGATGTCCGCAGACCACACAAAGGGTACCTTTGAGGACCAGGAAAGGACTTCTGCAGCCACCACTTTTCTACTTTAATCAAAATGTAAACGAACCTCAATTGGAAACTCTTCTTCCTTCTTTCCAGAGGTAACAGGTTAACTTACTGTAAATCCAGTTTTCTCGTCTAGCTCCAAAGTGTTAGCATAAAAGCACTGGAGAGTGAAAGAAAAGAAGAGCTTTTCTGCTCAAAGGAAAACTCTCCCTCTCAACCTGAAGTAGGGCTGCAGTGGACAGCGTGGCAGGTGGTGTTTATCTGCAATCACGGGCTATTCACGGAACTCCCAAGCCGCCTCTTAGATGCAAATTGTTCTTCAGCATCATTACTTAGCCATTCATCCTGGGAACTGATGGCAGCAACTTCAGTCGCCTTTTTTCCCCCCTTTCCCAAATCAAACTCCTGAAGACTCAGAAAAGCATGGAAGCCACACAAAGGGACCGCTTCCTGTGTGACAGGACAGGACATCCCACAGGCGTGCAGGGTTTGGGGGGCAGGGCAGCAGGAGGGGGCGTTGGGAGCCCCTGAACCTGAAACAAAGACTCAGGTTTTCTTAGGCAAAATTACCAAGGTGTTTCTACATAAGTTTCAAAATGTCCCTTTATCCCTTTATTGGAGGCAGGGAGAGAGGACATTAGCTTCAGACTTTAGTGATCTTCCTACCTCATTCTCCATCAAATACGTAGTTGTGAACAGGAATCTGGGGTCTCAGCCAAGTCATCTGTGTATCTAATTTTCCTTATTGTAGGATCACAGCATGTCAGCAGCCAACAACCGTGGAGATAAAAGACTGGTCAAACCCAGTGTGTTTGAGAACCTGAAAACACAGGTTTTGAGATGACACAATGGAATTACAATCATAGTAAAAAATCTTTAAGAACTATCAAATTGACAAATATTAAAAGGAATTTTAATACCCAGTGTTGGCAAAGATGCAAAGAAATGGGCAGTCCTCTCTTCTATGGTAATTCCTTGGAGGGCAACTGGGAAGTTTGTTGTACAAGCCCTAAAAAGTAGGCAAATCCCGTGCCACCAGCAATCACACTTTCAGGAATTTATCCCAAGGAAAAAAAAATCAAAGGTGCACAGGTATTATTTGCAGTGATATTGGTAATATTAAAAAATATAAATGACAATGTGCAAGGCTAAGAGAATAAAAATTGCAGAGTGGGCATATAATGGGATCCTAATAAGCACTCACAAAATAATGCTATAGAACAGGAGTTGGCAAACCACACCCACGGGCCAAATAGACCTGCCTCCTGCTTTTGTTAATGGAGTGTTATTGGAACACAACCATGTTCCTTTGTTTATATGTCGTGTGTGACTGCTTTCATGCTACAATGCGTGAAAGTGGTAGTTGCAACAGACCTTATGGCCTGCAAAGCCTGAAATATTTACTATCTGGACCTTTATAGAAAAAGTTAGCTAACCTCTGCTCTACGAGACTGTTTGCTGACAAAATGTTTATATCGTTAAGTGAAAATAAAAGATCAGGGCACTGCATAACACCATTTTTCTGACACAGAGAAATAGGACTGAAAGATATTCAAATAACAATAGTTCTCTCTGGGTGGTGGAATTATGTCTGTATGTTTTTCATGTTGTCCACATTGAACATACATTCTTCAGTAACCAGCAAGAGAGAAGAGGGAAGCGAGAGCAACTGGGGATTGCATCGTCCATGGGTCTGAATGCGTTGCCGTTTCCAGTCTCCCCTCCTGAGCTCCATCCCAACCCCAACCCCACCCCGATCTTCATCCAGAGTACCATCTTGCCGCCACCCACCCCAATGTTGCTTTGCAAAATCCCTGCTCAGAAAGAAAAAGCAGGATTCCTTTTATTCCAGGCAGGGGCCACATCAGCATCTGCACCTGCAGATGGGGCTGAGGGAGTGGGCAGTGGGCCTGGGAATTGTGTTGTGTTTTGTTTTGTTTTGTTTTATTCGCTTTGCCTTTGAACTGAAAAGACAAACCTTAATAACACGGGTATTGAAGGTCCCTACCCCGTTCCCCAGCCCAAGACTTACTCAGTGTTCCCACAGTCCAGGACACAGGTAAGCCCCCGGGCCAAGGCTGAAAACCTGAGCGCTGCGCAGCATTTCAGTGCTGCGATTGGACTTCCTTCATGTACACACTCAACGATCTGTTCCCAACACTCACTGGTCCCGGACAGAGCCCTACCTCAAAAACTATGAAGACAAGCTTGGAACTTTAAAATAGTAAAAACAACCTCTTAACAGTAAACTCTAATACTTGCACAGCACATTACAAGCATCGAATCTCACACGCTTATGTCATTCTATTTCTCCTTAGTGAATGTATCCACAATTAAACATTATTAAACACCTCCTCTGAACATGCCCCATGGGAAGTGTAAAGAAGGTAAGCATAGCACAGTGGCCTTCAAGCCGACTGTCCATTAGAATCACCTGGGAGCTTTAAAATACATACAGAGGTCAGAACCTCTGGGGTGCAGCATGGGAATCTGATTTTTAAAGCTTCCCCAGCAAGCTCTCCTATGTGCTAGGCAGTAAGTCCAAATGGTTTCAGCAGGGGGTTCTGGAACCTCTCTGCACATTAGAATCACCTGGAGAGTCTAATGATCTCAGTGCCCAGTCTAGCATCCCCAACAATGATTAAATCAGAACATCTGCGGGTGGATCCAGGCATTGGTATTTTCTAAAACTCCCTGGGTGACCCCAACATGCAGCCAAGGTTGAAAACCACTGAACTGAAGGAATTCAGAGATGATAAGAGGGTTGGCTCGAGTGGCCAAGGAATGTTTCTGCAGGAGATGGGATCTCAGCCATGGCTCCAAGAATAAGCAGAAATGAAGAAAGGAATTTAAGGGTGGAGAACAGCAAAAGCAAACATTTGGCTTAGGCAGAAGATTCATAATGAGAAATAAGGCTAGGAGCATAGGGTGGGGCCAGATCTCAAGGGGCCCAGAATGCCAAGTAAGGGGTTTAACTTATACCTGAGAGAGAGTCACAGAAGATCTTGAGCAAGGAAGTGAGTTATTTAAGATCTTGGGGAAGATAAATCTGGGAGTAGACAGCAAGTGCACAGAGAAAGGTTGGAGCTTGGGGTTGGTCTAAGCCATTCCTAGTGATTGCTATTTCCTTTGATGGTCCAGGGGAACATATAACAATTCTAGCTGCCAATTACAAGAGGATTTCCCTCCCTGAAAAGAGAGAAGTATGTGAAGTGGAAGCCCTTTTGCTCCCACCAAGACCACCCATCCTTGTTTCCTGTTTGTAAGGCTGTCAAGTGATGATGTGATGTTGGAGCTGTGGCAGCTACTTTGTAACTATGAAGAATCTCAGAGATTCTCAGAGATCCTGAACCAAGGGAATCTTAGAGACTCTGACTCAGTGCCCTGATCTCACCGAGTGCTTAACTAATCCTGGAACTACTTACCTCCAGAATTCATGTTTTGTGAGATAATAAAACTCCTTTACAATTTGTTACTATTCTTTAGGTATTGTATTACTTGCACATCAGAACATTCAAGAAGAACCTATTAAGCTCCTACTTAATACTAGGGATTTAAAGATGGATAAGTTTCCAGGCCTTTGGGAGTTTAAATTCTAGAAGGGAAGACCAACAGTTAAAACAAACCCAGGGGAGAAGTGCTCTAGCAGAGGTATGAATTAAGTACTGCAAGATACAGAAGGCCTGTTGACTTGGTCTGAGAAAAAGAGGATATATAGATGGAGTTTTGTTTTAGACCTTAGGCTTGAGGGATATCCAGGAGAAAATGTCTGTGGGCAAGAAGTCCAAATTAAACATATAAACTTAGGAGACATCAGCAGAGACCTGGTAGTCAAAGCCATAGGAGATGTTAGTATTTCCCAGTATATTGGTCAGGGATGCTTCCAGAAGCTTTACAATGGAAATAGCAGGGCCAGTTGAGGACTGATGCATTCATTAGCCTAACAACATCAAAGCTCCAGGGCAGCATTGCTATGATTGATCCTGATCTTGTCCCCAGGCTCACAAGATGAATACTGAGCTTCATGCACTCTATCCTCACATCTTATTTAAAGACACAAAGAGCTGATTCTCCGCACCCCCTAAAATCCCTCCCACACAACTTCTACTTGTGCCCAACTGGCGAGGGCTATGTCACATGTCCATCCTTAAACAAATCACAGGCAAAGATAAATTATTTACTGTGATTTCTTGAACCAATCATGATTCATCCCCTGGCACAAAGAAGAGGTTTAACAAGAATAAAAAGAGAATGATTATTGAAGGGGTGACCAATAGCATCTACCACTTCCTAAAGGAGCCAAGAGAGCATATAAAATCCTAAGACAGAGAACTGGGAACTTGTCGACATTGTCAGGAATGGGGAGAAATGCAGAGATGGAGAAGAAAAGATCAGAGAAGCAGAAGAAGGGAGTCCCAGAAGTCAAGAAAACACAGTTTCTAGCAGGAGGAAGTGGCTGACAGCTTCAAACAGTATAGGGACGTCAAATAGATGAGGACAGTCCTGGAGGCCATTAGCCTTTGTGAGTAAGGTTACTCTTGACCTTGGTAAGAGTATTGCCAAGAACAAAAAACATATTGAAAGGGGTGAGGGGGAGGTGAGGAAGTGAAGTGTGCAGGCAAAGGGCAAAGACTTGGAGAGAAAAGCTGTGTTTGTGCACAGTCAGCCAGAATCCTAAGCTATTGCTAGTCCTGATTGAAGCTAAGCGGAGAGACTGACAAGATGCCTCTACTGCATATTCATCAGAGACCGTCTTGCCAGCTTGAGAGAAAGCTAGGAGAAGACAGAAGAGCCCCTCCCGCCCTGGCTCCATGATTAATTCTCTTTCTCAAAGGACTTGAATAAAAGAAGGACTAATCATGCTCTCCTGCCATCTGGGCAATTATGGTCCCCCATCAGCTGGTACAAAATGAGGGGTTTCTGACACTTAGTGGCAACCCTGCCCCCATCACATCTGGGCCTTAATCTCTTGAATAAGCCAAATCAAGGGAAATTTGGAGATGTATTATGATTCAAGTGACAGAATAAATAACCCCTTGGCCAGGCTGCACTCTAAGTCTCCCCGCCCCTGCGAGGCTGCATTGGAGAAGGCTAAAATGGCATGGCTGGCTCTGCAGGTGTCTCACAGGGAGACACAAGGGTTTGGTTGTGTAGGGTTACAGCAGGAATATGTCAGGCCTGGGCTCCTCCTGTGGGGACTTCCTAGAGCTTCCCTATCTGTTGTCCACTCTGGACCCATGAGTTAGAGCAAAGGGATATCTCAGGTTGGGCTGGGGAATCCATGCTGGGCAGACACCCCTCTCCCCCATAATTTGGGAAGGATTGAAATGAGGATTCTGTGATCTTAGAGCTCCCATGTGTCCCTCTATCCTGGCACTAATCCCACAGCACTGGAATCCTCCAGGACTCTCTCTGTCCCATGGACTGGCTGCTGCTTGAGGGCAAGGACCAGATGTGCCTTGCTCATACCACCCCAGACCAGGGATGGGCATAGAGCAGGGCTCAATCAGTGTTGGTCATGGAAACTAACAAACAAATGAATGAAAGAATGAGGGGATACAGAGAATATATTCTGACCAGAAAACACTCCTCATTCAATGGCAATATATGTCTTTAGCCCCAGCCAGATAGTGACTTGACATTTGTCCAAAATGTCCATTTGGTGTGCCTCCAATCTACCAACCATTGGGCACAAGTTGCATGCCAGCCCCTGTGCTGGGTGTAAACTCAGTTAATCCTCACAAGAGTGTGAGGTAAGCACTCTCATCTCTGATTTATCAATGAGGAAACTACAGCTCACAGTGATTAGTCCAAGTTCCC